AATTTAGCAAAAAAAATAAATAATGGTCCAATCCTGACTCGCCACGTGTTTCTTAGAGACGTCTCCGTCTCAGCCCAACAAGACGTATCACGCCAAAATCTCACGAATCTTCTTTTTTCCTTTTTTTTTGTTTAATTACAAGAACCCATTAAGGGTTCACGGATAATCATGCTCTTAATATCATCAGAAAACATTTATACATAACATGTGTGCTCATAAAGCCAATAAAACTTATTTTGCTTCCTCGAATATTCCTATTAGCATATTGTGATTGAGCCAAAAAAATCAGAGAGAAGTCAGAGTCAGTTATCTCCAAATAACTCATAAGCTAGCCAAATTAATCTATGTGAAAACATTCAAATACACTAAAAGAGGGCAGTAAGATATTTAGCATCTTTTATGGATCAAACCGAAGAAAGATGATTTTCCTGACTGGTCTGTTTATATATTGATTAAACTGAGATTATATGATCCAGAAACCCATTGGATAAAATTAAAACCCAACCTGTCACATAGTAATAAATTGTATACTATTAGTCCAAAAAAGATTTTTAAAAATGTACTGATTATGAAACATTAAACTATGGGCAATTGGCATCACAAAAACTGATCCAATGATTGACCAAATAGGAAAAAAACTGCAAACTGTGACCTAAAGGACATACTATGTACTTAGCTTATTGAAATCTCTAGGGAAAGACGCACACATATATATCCATGGAAAACTCCATTGCAAGTAGCTAAACCCACTATATCATCTATTTATTTGTGCTTTTATGGTTAATATTAAAGCCAAAAGAAAGTCTTCTTTGCATAAAGATTTTGCTTTTCAAGACAATCTTGAGAAGAAGGATATTCATTTTATCACTATATATTTTCGCTTACGAGAGAGAAAGGAGCAAACAAATATATTTTTTCTAAAAATTTCAAATCAAATGAAAATCGAATGAATGACTATGAATCAGATTGATTGGTTGAGATTCTGAGCTATTCTGGTTTGGTTAAGGGGCAACGGTTATATTTCATCTCCTCTCAGTAGTCAAATGACAAATAGCGCAA